GGACGATATCTCAGCATGGCTTTTCGCTTGTGGGATCGAGTATCCGCTATTGCAGCTTACAACCAAGCATTCGTGGACCATTAAGACTGCGACTCAGCTGGAGAAACCACGATACGTTATCTTCGCTCTGCAGACAGTTCGGAAGAATGTCATGTCTAAGGATGTGAGTCGATTCGACGACTGCAAATTGATCAACGTGAAACTCTATTTGAATTCGGAATATTATCCGTACGACGATATGAATCTTGATTTAGATAAAAACAGATATGCCATTCTGTATGATACGTACGCACGCTCCTGCAAGAATTATTACGGACACGAGTATCTCGAGCCGAATCTCAACGTCCTGAAGTTTGTACAACACGATCCGTTCGTGATTATCGATTGTTCTCGACAAAACGAATCGATTAAGAGCGCAACTGTGGATGTGAGATTGGAATTCGAGTGTAAGGAGAACGTGCCGCCGAATACCACTGCGTACTGTCTCATCATACACGATCGCGTGATCCAGTACAATCCGTTGACCAACGTTGTACGCAAAATCACCTAGGCGATAACAGCGACAGAAGAGAGAGGGGGAAGAGGAGAATTATATAAATCAAAGTCTTGCGAGATGGTTTTAGAGTTTTGTCATTCCTCTCGACTGGCGTATCGAAGAGAGAGAGAGAGAGATCTCGTCATGTCCGTACCAACGTTTGTGTATCTGCAAGGATTTATCGTTGGGAAAAATTTTGTCGTGAAGGAAGCGGTAGTCTTGAGAAAGGGATACGTTCTATCGCATTACTTTTTCGCAAGTCCCATACCGTGGAGCGTGCTTACAAAATCTGAGCGATGTCAAGTCTCATGGCTGATTAGAAATCATCACGGATTACAATGGGAAGACGGAAACGTTCCGTATGGTTTGGCTCAGCGTGTAATTACAACAGCTGTCGTTGGTATGATACACGAAGTAGAAGAAGAAGAATCGTCTGTCGTATATGTTAATGGACTTGAAAAGCGAAAATGGTTGACTGATCAAGAGACACGGTAGTGTCTTGAAATCGAGTCATCATCAGGCGCAAGACACACCGTGTGTCTTTACGCGAAAGGCTAAGTTGTGAGTAATGCATATTATCGGTTCTCAATAACCGCTAAATCGATTAAATTCTTATTAGAGAATTCTTCTCAATCAATTGGGTTCGATTTATATAAAGAAAGTGTCTTTTTGCTCTATGTGCTCTAGAAGCAGAAATATAACGATACAAAGTCTCATGTGAAACTTTTGTTTAAGAAACGTCACCGTCACCGTCACCGTCGCTACATTTTTCACATATTTTTCTTGTACGGTTCGCACGTTTGACGAAAGAGGCGCTATGTGACAATGAGAGATGTACAGTACGCGTCAAAATAATTTCTCTAGCGAGAGTTGGTAATATCTCTCCTCTGCTAATATATAAGAAACGTATCGTATGCATTAAAGGATAGATATTATCAATTCTCTTTAGGAAAACGGAACTAATTATTGAAGTATACTATACTATTATGTCCTTATTTAATTAACTTTTCATAGATACATATTACAGAAATTTATTAATAAACGTTAACATAATAGTATAGTATACTTCAATAATTAGTTCCGTTTTCCTAAAGAGAATTGATAATATCTATCCTTTAATGCATACGATACGTTTCTACGATACGATATATATATATATATATATATATAATATATACATTATATTTGTTATATAGAATATTATATAATTTATATATTTTAATATTAGTTATTTAGATTAGACATCATTCATTCATGTCATTTAACTGATAAAACTTTATATTTTATAGATTTTATTGATAAGAATAAGTTGTTTGCTATAATTAAAAAAGATATATCTAAGAAAGAAGGAAATTATGATATCTGGAAATAAAATTGTTGAATTAGAATTATCAAATAATAATACTTTTTATGTACAAAACGTGAATGAGAAAATATTTTAACCAAAAAGTATTTAATATTATTGTCATATTACATACAAAAAAATACTAATTTTAATGAAGAAAAAGTAATAATGTACATTAATAATTAACTTTATTTTAAATAATGAATATATTATATAGAAATACAATTAGAGAAATACAATGAAATAGAATATTCACAATGAATATAGAATGAATATAGAAATACAATTAAATAAAAATGATAATTTTGCACTAAAAGTTATATACATTTAATTTATATTTAGTGTAACAATTTAATGCATAAACTCAAATATAAAAAAAATCAAATACAACATTTTATGACTGACTATAGAAATACAATGAAACGGAATATTCATACAATGAATATAGAAATACAATGAAACGGAATATTCATACAATGAATATAGAAATACAATTAAATACAATTAAATAAAAATGATAATTTTGCACTAAAAGTTACATACATTTAATTTATATTTAATGTAACAATTTAATGCATAAACTCAAATATAAAAAAATCAACTACAACATTTTATGACTGATACTATGACTGATATATATCTTATATATATATTATAGTATCAGACTGATACTATGACTGATATATATAAGATATATTTTAAAGAAAACATTCGAAATTATTTAAACACAATGTAGGCTATAAAACCACTAAGCGCAGATCTATAACGCAAATTAATCAATATGGCAATATAAATTTAGATCAGAAACAATTTAAGAGAAATCACAAACAAAATTATTTATTTTAAAAACAAAAGAGGGCAAACGTTTCGATCTGCTCCAGATCATTATCAATGCCAAGAATCGCAAAAGAAAAAACATGTAAATAGGCGAAAAAGCAAAAAAAGGCTACGAAGTCGTCGATGTACATTATGTCAGCAAATTTCGAAATAACGGATAAAGACGTCGCATATTTTTAAATTAATACATACAAAGCAGTCAAAAATTCAAAAACGCGAAAAAACTTAATGAAAACGCTCGGATTTACAAACTAACCGCAATCATGCTCGCTCGCACGTATGCTACTCACCAGAATAATGAAATAAAAACGCAATGCGAAGCAAACACACAAATACGTAGAAGCAGGAGTGCAAGCACGCATCGTCACTATGTAGCAAAAATTCCAAAGAGTCTTCAAAATGTAGCAAAATTCCAAAGAGTCTTCAAAGTTTAAATCATATTCCAGAAAAAGCAATAGTCGAGATCTGAAAAATAAAGCAAGCGGAGCAACATATGCGCAAGCAAGACACAATGCAGTAAACAGACAAATAAAATCAGACAAAATCGTAGTAATGTTAAAAAAGCAGAAATCTTTAAGATAGAATGCAAGAAAATTTACAATTAACTTATAGAGAAAGCAATAGCAGGGAGGCGCATTAATTGAGAGCAGAGTCAATACCTTGTAAATAAAAGCACAAGTATCTCGAGCAAGATCTCAGATCGAACTGAGCTATGATACGTAAAGGAATCCGGCGCGCCCCATCCCCCGACCACACGGGGGGGGAGGAGGGGGAAAGAAAAGAAAAGCAGGAACGGATCTAAATATGAAAAATTGATATGTAGAAGAGAGATAAGAATTTGCTATAATTTAAAGGATTTAATGATGGGGAGGTAAACATTGTCTAATTTTTCGGTATCTTTCTGTACGTTAAGCCCATTACTTTGCCGTGTAATATGGATCATTTCTGAGATACATCTTCTGAAATAAGAAGAATCTTGATCCAAGATTTTTGCATTATCCCATGCAAATTCATGTCCCTCTAATCTGTGCTGAGACACCACTGACAAGGGCTCAGATGGTCTATTGATGTTGGAAAAATGTTCATGTAAACGGGTAGAAAGTTGTCTGCTCGTTTGTCCAACGTACGAAGCCGAACAATTATTGCAACAAATTGGCCATATTGATTAATTTGCGTTATAGATCTGCGCTTAGTGGTTTTATAGCCTACATTGTGTTTAAATAATTTCGAATGTTTTCTTTAAAATACCACTACGTTTTAATTCTAATTATATATATTTTAAAGTAATTTAAGTAATTTTTTAAGTAACTTTTGTTCATGCCTCAAATCAAAATCAGTGTAGATACTCCTGGAAATATGGTACTCCTGAATAGAAATAGTATTTTAATAATTTTTTAGTTTAATTAATTTTTTTTAAATTACTAATTTAGTTTAATTACTTTAAAAAAAACTGTAAAATAAACTATAATTAAGAAAAAAAAAATAAAACAAAAAATAAACTATAAATTATAGTTAATTTTATCACAGTTTGTCTTGTTGTAGTTTGTTGTAGCTCATCAGTCTTGTTTTTCTTGTTTGCTGTAGTTTGTTGTAGCTCATCAGTCTTGTTTTTCTTTCCTATCTTTTGTGTGATGATAGAATCTGCAATAAATTATATAATTAAATACGTATCAAAATATCTTAATATGAAGTAAATCCATCAATAAATATATAATTAAGTTCTACTTTCTAAATTAAAAAATTAAAAAAATAAATTAAATCAGTAATATTAAATGATGAACTTAATTCCTGCCGCTAAATATTGTAAAATATTTAGTGGCAGGAATTAAGTTTACCATCTAATATAACTATTAATAAAAACTAATAAATAGTATAAACTAATAATAAAAACTAACAATAATAAAAACTAACAATAGTATAAACTAATAATAAAAACTAACAAATATAACTATTTTTTTATCTTCTGCCCCTTCCTCGATTTCTGCCCCAATAATAATGGGCAGAAGATAATTTATATAGAAAATTCATAAATCTTTCTTCTTGTTTTCTTATTCCAGCAGCTGTACCCCTTGGTTTTTGTGCTGTAATTATTAAAGTAATTATTAAAGTTAGAAAATTACTTACTATATGTATGTTTTAGTGTAAAGAAATTTAATGCAAAAAAATATATACAAATTAAATGTAAGAAAAATATATAAGTATTAAAAGATAGTAAGTATAATGTTTCATTATCATGTAATGAAAATTACCTCGTCTAATATCTCTGCGATTTCTGCGATATACATGTTCTGCGGTGAGTGCAAGAGTGGCACCAACGGCGACGGAGGCAGCGGCGACGGAGGCAGCTGTGACAGGGGCAGCGCCGGCGGAGGCAGCGGCGACGGAGGCAGCAGCGGCGGGGACAGCGGCAGCGGAGGCAGCGGCGGCGGAGGCAGCGGCGACGGAGGCAACGGCGGCGGGGATAGCGGCGGCAAGGGCAGCGGCGACGGAGGCAGCGGCGGCGAGGACAGCTGCGACGGGGGCAGCGGCGACGGAGTTAGCTTCGGGAGTAGAGGAGGCGAAGGAGGCGTAAAGACGAGGTTTCTGAAGAGGAACATTGGAATGATCTTCTATTGATATTTCATTTAAAAATTCTTCGTCCATTAGCATCTACAAAAGTATTTAATATTTAATAGTCTTAAATAACAGTATTTTTATTTTAATGTAAAGATATATAATAAAATTGATACATCATTTAGATTTTTTTCTTTCTTTTTCGAGGACCACGTGGACCATTCATCCGACATATTATTCGTCATCTTCGCCATCTTTGATCGAAATCATTGATCGATCATTTTTATAGATTCGTAACTTTATGCACAGTAAGAAAGCACGCTATCTTTGATCGAAATCATTGATCGATCATTTTTATAGATTCGTAACTTTATGCACAGTAAGAAAGCACTGTTCCTTATTGGCTTATTATTACTTTTAATATGGCGCCCTTGTAATTTTTCTTTATGAGATTTCTATTATAGCATGTAAATTCGTTCCATGGCCTTTCATTTTTCATGATTATTAGTTTATGATTATGCTTCACAGGTTAGCTGTAATCGTGACTTGTTTACTTTATTAATTTTAAGAAGACAAATTGTTTTGGGCATTGGATAGCAGTAGGTGTTTGATTTTAAATTGTTTGATATATAATAAAGGAGTAGTTAGTACTAGGCGGGTTCTAACTCAGATCCTCTCAGGGGAGGTGAGGTGCGCGGGGATCTCAGCGGAGCGGGGTATGACGTCACGCGGGGATTGCGGGGTGGGGGATGCACGTGTTGGATGTTTTATGACATGCATAAACAAAAAAAAGGACGGTATTCTTTTGAAGATGATTTTGGGCCTAACCAAAAAAATCATTTCTTATCATCTTATTTTATTTTATTTTATCATCTTATTTTATTTTATTTTATCATCTTATTTTATTTTATTTTATTTTTTATTTTATTTTTTAAGGAAAAATTTTAACAGCGCCAATGTTCGACTGCTTTGTCTCCCCCCCCGCTCCCCCCGTTTACATATCAGCGCCGATCTTCGGCTGCTTTGTACTCTCGAGGTACACCCCCTAATATAGATAATTCCAGGTTTTTTTTCCCGTTCGACGTATAAACAATAGAGATTAAGCGGACAAGCTTTCAGAGATTGTCGGGGGGACAAAAAAATTTTTTTTGCAAATGGGATATTGTAAAAAACCTTTTATACCCTTATATATATTTTTAATAACTTTATTTCATAAACTTATATTTTTGAGATATTTCGGTCCAGCCTTTGTCCCCCGTTTACATATCAGCCTCCGATGTTCGACTGCTTTGTACCCTTGTCGCGTGTGTGAGAGAGAACGATACTTATAATAATAAGACTTATAATTAATGCGAGAGCGCACAAAGGATTGGAGCATAAGGGAAAGACATGTAAATAATTGCATTTTTTGTTATAATTAAAAATATATATAATTTATTCAAATGTGTGAGTTTAATAAAAAAGTATACAATATAAAGAATTGATAAAGAAATTAAATTTTCATACATAAATTTTCGTGCGTAAATTTTCAAACATAAATTGCTCGCGAAAAAATTTTTTTAAGACATGTACAAGGCATTTATACATATATATATTTTACTTCCTCCTCCTCCTTATATATATATATATTTCGTCCAATTCTTTCTCATCTTTTGAATGTGGCAAGGTACAACGCAGAAAGAGCATGAACATCCAAATAAAAATATCCAATATGATGGTCGCAGGGGACTGCTCCTGAAACAAAAGAAAATATATACATTTCATTAGTTTAAATTATTTAATAATTTATTTTAAGATACTTTTGATATAATAAATTAAAAGATACTTACAATGTTATCCATGACTTATCTATTTTAATGTTTGCAAACAGGGCACATGTCGCATGGCATTACTTGATGTAAAGATTTCCTGCACTCTCTGCATGACATAGCCTCTATATTGCAATAAGTTGTAGTTCTATGTTCTCTAACAGATTTAGCCTCTACAAATAAAAACGCTCGTTGGATAAAGCATTCGGTGCAATATTTCGAATTTTCTCCATTTTCTTCATAATACCACGATATGCAACATATTTTTAGCGTTTCATTCAACGTTAATATTTCAGGTAGTTCTAGGTGTCGTTGTTTTCTTTGCCACAATTCATCACCATCCTCACTGTCATCACTATTATAGTCACTATCCGTCAACGGTTCTATTACATCAAGTAACATTTCATCATCAAGTCCATCCTCGTCTGCTAATTCGTGATCACCAATATTCATCTCCTCTCTCTCTATCTCCATCCTCTCAGCCACAATCAGATCCATATCGTAATCATCATCATCGATAATAATTACTTCAGCCATTGCACAAGATTACACACAGAAGAGCAACGAAAGAAAAACACAGAAGAGCAACGAAAGAAAATCACAGAAGAGCAACGAAAGAAAAAATGATACTCTAGCGCAGCTCCTTTTCCTTTTATATATTTTTTAACATAAAACAATATATAGCTGTATTCCTTGGAAGAGGATTGCATCTTAGGGCACAACCTTTTTTCTTTTCTTTTCTTTTTCTTTTTTCTATCGATGTTCATGCTCTTTCTGCGTTGTACCTTCCCACATTCAAAAGATGAGAAAGGATTGGATGAAATATATATAAGGAGAAGGAGGAGGATTGAAACATGTCAAATCATAGTACGGAGGCGCGGGGGATGTTTGGGGACGTGTTGGATGTTTTATGACTAGCATAAACAAAAAAGAGCGGTATTTGAAGAGGATTGTATGTTAGGGCCGGCCCAAAATTATTTTCCATATTTTTTCTTGGAAGAATTGCAACGTATCAGCGCCGATGTTTGGCTGCTTTGTGCTCTTACCACGCGTGTGAGAGAGAACGAATTTTTTCTGAGATGTAAATAAAAAATAATTATTACGATACACCATACTTATTTATTTTACGCAAAGATAAAAAGATTTAGACGAAATACAGGGATGATTGAAGCGCATCAAGTTACTGTGATTTGAGCGCATCGACACGCCGGTTGTAGAAGAGTATAGTGGTGTCCTGTTAGAAAGATATTTGCGCGATTTCACGTTCAAGCGAACGATATTATTTATCGTGTGCAAAAAGTGCAAATACTCCGTAGAAAAGTGTGACGTAGTGTAAAAAAGATAAGAAGAAAATGGAAAACATCGAGCGGACTGAACGCGATCTGATGGAGCGATCTCACCAAATTACCACCTTGGGCGAGTATTTTGCATGGCTGCAGCGTTGCGAGGAAATAATCAAAGAGCTCGAAGAACGCAGTCGTGTCAAGCGTCCGAGACTCTTGATCGGATGTAGACAATCCCTGGTAGCCAAAATCGCGCGACTCGAAAGTGCAAAAATTCGATTGCAGAGGCGATTTATTCCCAGTGGTGGCGATTACAGCGATGACAATAACGCGGAAAGACTCATTTGGCGAGAGATCGATACCGCATTTGATAGCCGAATTTTGACCGGTGCTGTAATTAATACAAACCATATCGAACCTCGTCAATTTCTCGAGGATGCCGAAGACATCGTGCTCGAGCAAGTGCAAGACGTTCTAAAAAGACACAACAGTGTAAAAGTGAACACTGTGTTTAATGGTGAATTTGTGGCCGGAGATAAACGCGCTAATAAAAGTGTGAATACGAGAAACTGTGAACTCTTTCGCACATCGGATTTACGCGAGTGGTACGAACGGCGCGTTATCGAGTCCATCCTAGCATCTCTGGAAGAGTTTCAGGAACGCGACAGCGGGTGGGCATTGTCGCGAATACAGAATTTGACTGTTAATGTAAACAAATATAATCCTTTGTGTGCGGGATGTCACATCAAGTTACCGCGAGAGATTGCGACGAAGAGAGCGGTGATAAACGTGCAATCGAAAGACAATGCGTGTTTCGCGTGGGCAGTGGTCGCCGCCCTATACCCCGCCGAAAGGAACGCGGAACGGGAATCATCATACCCGCATTACGCGACAGTGCTGAATCTCCGGGACATTGAGTTTCCAGCGACTGTAAATCAGATTAAGAAATTTGAACATGCAAATAACATTTCAATCAACGTGTACGGCATCGAAGACAAGAACGTTGTCCCGATACGTCTTTCGGATCAGAAGCGGGACAAGCATGTTAACTTGCTGTACATTGAAGATGACAACAGCATGGGACACTTTGCTTGGATAAAAAATTTATCCAGGCTTGTGAGCTCACAACTGAGCAAACACAAGAATCACAAATATATCTGCGACCGGTAAGTTTATTTTATATTATTTGAATAATTATAATTTATATAATTACAATATGGATTGTTAAATCTTAATTAAAATTTTTCTTTCTTTTACAGATGCTTGCATTATTTTGGTTCGGACGCCAAGTTGCAGTCGCATACGGTCGACTGCGGGGAGATGAACGACTGCGCTATCCGATTGCCGAGCGACAAAGACAAGTGGCTCGAGTTCCACAACTACAACAGGAAAGAGCGGCTTCCATTTGTGGTCTATGCTGACTTAGAATGCGTTTTGACCAAGATGGAGGAGGAGAAAGAAAAGAACGCGTACCAGCATCATCGGGTATTTAGTATAGCGTATTATATGCATTGTTCGTACGACGAATCTTTATCGGCATATCATTCGCGTCGTAGCGCCGATTGTATAGCATGGTTCGTCGAAGATCTTAAAAATTTAGCGATTCGCGTTAAGAATATTTTAACGACTAATGTCCCTATGGTAAATTTAACATCGGAAGAGTGGGAAAAATTTCACAGCGCAACGTATTGTCATATATGCGAAAATCCGTTTACGCAAGAAGACGATACACGCGTACGCGATCATTGCCATCTGACCGGTCGGTATAGAGGTCCAGCACACTCAAATTGCAATCTAAATTACAAAGAATCATTATATTCCGATAGTATTTCATAATTTATCAGGTTACGATGTACATTTTATTATCGAAGATATTGCTACGGCGTTCGAAGGGAAAATCGAATTACTTCCGATAACCAAGGAAAAATATATTTCGTTTACAAAAACTGTTAAAGTCGCACAGGACAATTGG